CCACCGGTTGTATACTTTATTTTTAGTGACCTTTTTTAGCGCTACACGCAATTCTGACACCACCCGGGGGCTCGTGACCCACTGATGTGTTCCTTTGCCGGATGTTTGAAGGTTGGGACGGACGGGACATAGGACGCAACAGCAGCCCTCAGAGCAGTTGTTCTGCAGGTTTGACGGATGAAACAGTTTCACAGATGGGGCATTCCACGATAGATCGTACCACTTTTTTCCAATTTGACAGCCTCATCTCTCGGAATTTGACGAGAATTGGTCTCAGGGGTAATCAGGGGCTCTGAATCCACCTGTAACAATTTCAAGCTTATCAGATAAGTATTTTTTGAGTTATGGTGTATAACATTTTTTTGGATCTTGCTTTGCAGCGCTAAGTTTGGCGGGCTGTAACTCTAAGACGGATTATTCAAATGCCAAATGTTATATAACATTGAACTTGCAATGCAACAGAGATTAATATGTATTTTTTAAATTTCGAAAAATACGCTATTTTTGATATATGACATATCGAGTTTTCTTTCATTTGTATTTTTTTGACTTTGGGACCAAAGTTTTTTGAATTTTTATTTCTTTAAAAAAAATATTTGGCTCATTGTTAAAAAGTATGCAAAAAATTAGGAAGGTGTTCTTTCTATAAATGTATTTATTTTACGTAACCATAACGGTTTCGAATAGTGATTTCGGGAGGGGAGCTTACAAATGGCGTGGTAAAGCTGCCTAGTGACATCACGGGTTACTGAAATTTCAATTGAAGTCTGAGTCATCTGAAAAAAGTGAAAAGGGGTGTAACCGCCGCCCAGAGGTCATTGGGCAGCGATGTTTTCTTTTCCCCAATTTGCCGCCTCCAATTAATAGAACCTTGAACAGGGCGTGGCACGCGGTGAAGCGTGGCCATTGACACGTACGATTGTGATACTGGGACGTCAGATCCCACAAAAGTAAGATTATTGTCCATTGATAATTGATTAATGTATGCAATGCTTTGAAATGATTGGTCTTTGTGTTGTTCGTGTGTCCATGTGTATTATTTTTTGTTGATACTATTGTTTTGTTTCAGGTTTTACGTACAATATAGCGGCACCTAGTAGAATGGCGGTTTATCTGTAGAAATTGATTAGAATGGCCGTTACAGTAAAACTTTTGGATCTAGTCCTGATTTTGAGAGACTTTGTAGTTGAAAGATTGTCTTTATTTTCTTCTTTTAACAGTTTCAGTTGCACTGAATGAATATCAACTGGTTGTAGATTCTAGGGCAGTCAGTGGTTACGCAGGGTTGTTAGTAGGATTCCCCCTGTCGTATCATGCATGATGGTTGACTAGTAGAGGTGTTTGTAGCTAGACACACCTGTATTTGTCACTTTGACCTTGAGTTTTGGCCTCAGCACCTGGACGTCTGACCTTGACGTGTTAACACTGGTTTTGGGTCACAATTTTTTTGTGTGCTTCATTTTTGTTTTGTTATTGCAGCATTTAAACTATTATTTGCACTTCTTACATTTATTTAAGTAGTCAAACTAAATCCTGTGCCATCTTTTCTTGACCATTCCTTGCCTGGTCCACAATGAGTGAGGAACAGAGGATGTTGTCTGCGAAGGGCAGGGAGCTGCGGACCACTGAGAAAGGTAGATGCTACCAGGCTGCTCAGAAGTCAAAGCTGTACAAGCAGTTATTGAAGAAGCTGAGATCACGTGGCAGCTTACTGTTGGAGTCTGTTGAGCAGGAAGAAAAGCCACAAGTGATCAGGAAGGACTTTGATGTCTGGAAGCATGATTATGTTGATTTTGTGCAAACATATGAAGTGATATGCTCCCTGATGGAAGGTGAAGAGAGAGAAAACCTGGATCATGACAAGAACCTCACTGAAGTGAATGAGCTGAAAGGCAAGGTGGAGGCTCACCTGTCTTCAGTCTCCGCAGATGATGCTACTCCTGCAAGATCTGATGCTGGTGGATCACGTTCAAGCAAGTCATGTGCCGGCAGTGAAGTAAAGGCACAGGTTGTGCTCATGAAGCTCAAGATGCAGCAGGACAGAGCAGAGCTGGAAGCAAGAGCTGCAATGAGTAGTAGAAGGCTGCATCTGAAGCAAAAACAAGAACAGCTGCTGCTGGAGCAAGAACAACTGGATATAGAAACAGAAATGAACATAAATGAAGCCAAGCTGAGGGTGGTTGACCAGTTTGATGTTGACAGAGAGGAGGGAGCAAGTCAAGACTCAAGTGATGAAGTTGGACCTGGTGCAAAGGAGGAGAATACTGAAGTGGTCACTGGAACTGGAGCAGTACCAAGAAATGATGTCTCCATTGATGCTGCAGTCCAAGTGAAGGATAATGTCCAAGGCACAGGAAGAAATGACAAGACAGCCAATGGTCGAGTGGAGGATGATGAACCCAGCACTCAAGCAGCACTACACAGACTGGCAGATCTGCTTACTGAGCGACACAATGGTAGTATGCTTCCCGTGCTGGAACCAGGCACCTTCAGTGGCAACATTGAGGAGTTTCCAATGTGGCTGAAGTCTTTTGAAACCTATATTGAACATCAGACATCCTCTCCCATCGAACGCCTTCACTTTCTAGGAAAGTACACAGCGGGTGAAGCCAAGACAGCCATCCTGGGCCTGCTCCACCTGAGGACAGATGAGGCTTACTCGCAGGCAAAGGCGAGACTGAATGACAGGTTCGGAAACGACTTCATCATATCCAACACGTATCGCATGAAGTTGAGGAGCTGGCCCGCAATCAAAAATGAAGATGGTCGTGCTCTCAGAGACTATGCTGATTTCCTCGAGCACTGCCAAGCGGCAGCTGCGGGTCCTCTTCGCCACCTAGGAATCCTGGATGACTACCTGGAAATTCAGATGATGGTGAAGAAGCTGCCCAAGTACCTGGTGGACAGATGGAAGAGGGAGGTGGACAAGTGGCTCTACGATGAAAAGGGCGTTGCTAAAAGGAGACATCCACCGTTCTCAGAGTTTGTCCGTTTTGTCGGCATCGAAGCCAGGATTGCTTGCGGACCAGTGGATGTACCCAAGTGTGAAGAAACGCGGCAAGCCCCACAGAAGACACAGAGTAAGGCCAGGACTTTCATGTCCACAACGGGTGTGAAGAGGGCCAATGGAGGAACTCAAGTGGACACAAGGAAGCCTTCAACATGCGAACTGTGTCAACACCAGCACAAGATAAGCGACTGCGACACCTTCAAAAAGATGACTGGAACTGAACGGAACAGCAAGGTCAACGAGCTGGGACTGTGTCGAGGCTGCTTAAGAAGAGGACACAGGTGGAGGGAATGCCGCTCAAGATGCAAGTGTGATGAATGTGGCAGGTGGCACCCTACGATTCTGCATGATGAGTCACTTCTCAAGAAAGCTGAGGTTCAGCCTGAAGGCCAACAGAGGACGTCCCACGCGGCACCGCAGGCGACTTCATTCTGCTCGGGCTCTGTGTCAGATGCTGAAGGAGGAGGCTGCTGTCACTCACTGGTGGTGCCAGTGCTACTGAGTCATGTTGACAACCCGGAACACAGCGTGCTGGTGTATGCTGTACTGGACGCTCAGTCTGATGCCTGTTTTGCTTCAGAGCCTGTTTGTGAAGCCCTGAAAGTCGACGGAAGAGCCACGAAACTGGAGCTGAGCACTATGACGGGGAAGTCGGTCATCAGCAGCCGAGCGGTACAGGGTCTGGTGATCCAGCCCCTGACAGCAGATGAAGCCATCAGACTGCCATCAACCTACACTCGTCCTGAAATCCCATGCTCCAAGAAGGTCGTTCCTAAAAGGGAGACAGCCATGAAGTGGAAGCATCTGGAGAGAGTAGCCAGTAAAATGCCGGAGTTCTTCCCTGACGCACCAGTGGCTCTGCTTTTGGGGACCAACTGTTCACGCGCCATCAAGCCACTGGACGTGGTTTCTGGTAAGGACGACGAGCCCTGGGCGATCCGAACCCACCTGGGGTGGGGCATCGTTGGCTGTCTCGGTGGGAGCAACGACCCGGACGCGACGTGTCATCTGGTGGACACTAGCGATGGTCACCCCAAACGTTGTCATTTCGCCTTCAGATCACAGGTGCGCGAGGTGAGCCCACTGGAGGTGCTGAAGGTGCTCGAATCCGACTTCCAGGAGACTGGCCGAGAGGATAAGACAGCTTTATCGATCCAGGATCAACAGTTTGTGAAGAAGATGAGTGAGGGACTCGAGCACCGCGAGGATGGCCATTTTCAGATGCCGCTGCCACTGAAGAATGACAAAGTGTCCATGCCAAACAACAAGACAGTCGCCATGCAAAGACTCAAAGGACTGAAGGCGAAGCTGGTGAGAAACGAGGCCTACAGACACGACTACACCGGCTTCATGGCGGCGACGTTAGAGAAGGGCTACGCAGAGAAAGTCCCCAGTGAAGAACTGGAGCTGGATGATGGCAGGGTTTGGTACATTCCGCATCACGGGGTGTACCACCCACAAAAGAACAAGATTCGAATCGTATTTGACTGCAGTGCAGAGTTTCGGGGCCACGTGCTAAACAGCCACCTCTTACAGGGACCGGACCTCACAAACAGTCTCACCGGAATCCTGTGCCGATTCCGTAAGGAGCCTGTGGCGGTTTCCTGCGACTTGGAGGCGATGTTCAACCAAGTGGGAGTCGACGTCAGGGATCGCAACTTGCTCAGGTTCCTGTGGTGGGAGGATGGAGACTTGAAAAGAGACCCAACTGAATACCGGATGAAGACTCACCTATTCGGTGCCACCTCGTCACCCGCGTGTGCAATGTTTGCACTCAGAGCTGCTGCTGATTGTCAGCGAGGTGACACTGAAAGAGAGGCCGCCGACTTTATGAAAGGTGATTTCTATATTGACGACGGTCTCATCTCTGTACCAGACGCCGAGACAGCGGTCAAACTGATTGACACGACCAGAAAGCTCTGCGCACGTGGAGGCTTCACTGTTCACAAGATCCTCTCGAACAGCATTGATGTCGTGAGGTCGGTGCCGATGGAGAGTCGCTGCGCTGGACTTCGGAGTCTAGATGTCGGTTCCGGTGATCTTCCCGTTGAGCGGACTCTGGGAATCGACTGGGACACGGACACCGACATGTTATCCATCCACGTCACGCCGAGAGTCAGAGAAGTGACCAGAAGAGGAATACTATCAGTAGTAAGTTCGTTTTTTGATCCACTGGGCCTGGTGTCTCCTTTCATCTTGAGAGGGAAATTGCTACTGAGGGAGCTGTGTCGTGAGGGCTGCGGATGGGACGATCCCGTGCCCAGCGATGTGGCTGACGCATGGAAGCAGTGGATGGAGAGTATGTTGGCTCTGAAGATCGTGAGTGTTCCACGATGCTATGTGGAAGGTGGGCTGCAGGACAAGATGACTGTAGAGCTGCATCATTTCTCCGACGCCAGCGCTGTGGGCTACGGGCAGTGCAGTTACGTGAGGACGGTTGACCAAAATGGACTGGTCAACTGTTCACTGATCATCAGCAAGGCTCGTGTGGCACCAACCAAGCCGGTTACGGTGCCAAGGCTCGAGTTGACCGCTGCCGTACTCTCTGTGAGGATGAGCAAGTTCCTCCAGGACGAACTGAAGCTGCAGCACCTACAAGAGTTCTACTGGACAGACAGTAAGGTGGTGTTAGGCTATATTTCGAACGAAGCGAGACGTTTTCACGTTTATGTCGCGAATCGAGTTCAGGAAATTCGCAACCATACTGAGCCAAGTCAGTGGAGGCACGTGACAAGTGAGGAGAATCCAGCCGATCTTGCCTCCCGAGGCATCAGAGCCGAGGAATTGGTGGACAGTGCCTTGTGGTGGCACGGACCTGCCTTCCTGTCCCGTGCGGTCCTGCCGGAGGGCGAGGGACCACGGGAGGTTGGAGACGAAGATCCTGAGGTGAAGTCACGCTCTGCTTTCAGCTTCGCCACAGCAGTGCGGGAGGAGTTCGCTGGAATTCCGAAGAGGCTCGAGTACTTCTCTAGCTGGTTGCGAGCCAAGCGAGCAGTAGCGACGTGCGTCCTGTACGTGAGGAAACTTCACCACCTCGTGATGATGAAGAGGAGTGCCGTGCAGTCACGAGATGTTCCCAAAACGCAAGTCGGAGTAGAAGAACTGGAAGAAGCAGAGAGGATCATTCTGACAGCATTGCAGCGACAGGAGCTGCCAGGTGAAGTCGACCGCGCTGGACGATCGGGACAGGCAAGGACGGTGGGAGCCGGCCGGCGGACCGCCACGGTTCCCAAAGAGATGTCTCGTCTCGATCCAGTTGTGCGAGACGGGTTGATCTGTGTTGGTGGGAGGCTTCGCAGGAGCGGTTTTCCAGAGAGTGAGGTGCACCCTGTTATCATCCCCAACCGAAGCCATGTGACGTATCTGATCGTCAAGGAGTGCCATGAGAAAGTCGGACATGCTGGGCGAGGTCTCACTCTCGCTCGACTGAGGTCATCTGGCTACTGGGTCGTCGGAGGGAGACGATCGGTGGCACGCCTGATTCTGAAGTGTGTCAACTGCAAGAAGCTCCGTGGCCACGTTCTGAATCAGAAGATGGCCGACCTGCCGCATGACAGACTGGAACCTGCGGCGCCTTTCACCTATTCAGGCGTGGACTTGTTTGGTCCATTCCTGGTACAGGAGCGACGGAGTGAAGTGAAAAGGTGGGGCGTTCTCTTCACGTGCATGTCGTCTCGGGCAGTGCATATCGAGACGGCAAACTCACTGTCGACGGACTCTTTTCTTAACGCCTACAGACGGTTTGTGAGCCGAAGAGGCCCGGTGAGGGTGCTGCGAAGTGACAGAGGCACAAACTTCGTGGGCGGGAAGAGAGCCTTAGAGCAGGCTTTGGACGAGATGGACGACGACAGGATACGCAGAGAGCTGGTGAAGGAGAACTGCGACTGGGTCATCTTTCGGATGAATGTCCCAACAGCCAGCCACGCAGGAGGCGTCTGGGAGCGAATGATTCGCTCCGCTCGGGCTGTCTTGGGCGGTCTCGTTCAGGAATGTCACGGGGCTCGGCTGGATGACGAGCTCCTGCGAACGCTGCTCTGCGAAGTGGAAGCTATCGTTAATAGCAGGCCCCTCACATCCTTCAACATGACTCCCGATGAACCCCACCCAATCTCACCCATGACTCTACTAACACAGAAATGTAATGTAGTGCTTTCGCCGCCTGGTGCCTTTCAGAGGACTGACGTCTACTGCCGTCGTCGCTGGCGACGCGTCCAGTACCTGGCAAACCGGTTCTGGCAACGATGGCGCTCCGAGTTCCTCCCGAGTCTCCAGGAAAGGAGGAAATGGGCGACAGCGCACGAGAACATCGAACTGGACAGCGTCGTGCTCGTTGTCGACGACAACTCTCCCCGCTGCAAGTGGATGCTGGGGCGCGTCACGCGGCTTCATCCGTCCGACGACGGATTCGTCCGGCGGGTCGCCGTACGCACGAAAGACGGAACATATGATCGACCGATACAGAAGCTGGTGCGGCTCCTCCCGTAGGCGCCGACTTCGGTGGCGCTCGGCGGAGCTGGGCCGCGCGCTGCTGGTGGCTCCGGCGGCGCTCTGCGGGGCCGGGCCGCGCGCTGGTGGTGGCTTCGGCGGTGCTTGAGCAGAGTTGGCGGCTGCAGCCATCGACGGCGCTCAGTGGGGCTGAACTGTGCGTGGCTGTCAGGCTGAACTGTGTAGCTGCTGCGTAGCCTAGACTACTGCTACGACCCTGAGCGTTGCGCGTGGGACTGTCTGTGGCTCTGACAGTGACGACGGTGGCTCATTCGATGACAGTGGCTCAGACGTTGAAGGTTGAACTGAGACATACGGTCATGCAGTGCCTCAGAGCGTGCGACATAAACAGTTAACAGCCACCGACAGTGTGGTGGTTGTTAGTGCGTTGTGAACTGAGGAGAGTGGCACGTCAGCCGACGAGTGAGCTGACTAGTATGTGTTGGCGCTACGTATCGTGAGCGGCTGCCGAGTGACGCTTAGTGATGGACGACGGGCAACTCCCGTGACGTAAGATGATTTCAGTTTGCCACCATCTTTACCGTCGTCGGTCGTGTGGCGCAGGATGGTTGCGCTCCGCCGTCGTGTTGCGCAAATGTGGACTGTCTTGTTATAGAATCGTGACCGATTGGTGGGAGTGTAACCGCCGCCCAGAGGTCATTGGGCAGCGATGTTTTCTTTTCCCCAATTTGCCGCCTCCAATTAATAGAACCTTGAATAGGGCGTGGCACGCGGTGAAGCGTGGCCATTGACACGTACGATTGTGATACTGGGACGTCAGATCCCACAAAAGTAAGATTATTGTCCATTGATAATTGATTAATGTATGCAATGCTTTGAAATGATTGGTCTTTGTGTTGTTCGTGTGTCCATGTGTATTATTTTTTATTGATACTATTGTTTTGTTTCAGGTTTTACGTACAATATAGCGGCACCTAGTAGAATGGCGGTTTATCTGTAGAAATTGATTAGAATGGCCGTTACAAGGGGGTTAATTCAACCCTCTTTCCTATAAGCGCGAGGGTGAAAAAGGCTGTTTGGTTCTGACATTGTTTTGGACGCCAATGACCATAGCTGTCGGAGATGAAAGTTACAGGACGCATACATGGTGTCCTCCAGAGGTCTCACAACTTGTATATCTGGGAATTTTTCAAGGTTTCATGAGGTCAGGTCGGTCACGTGACACCACTGTTATAAATCAATGGGGAAATATAAAAACTGTTATTTTGGCGCCGTGAATGATCTAAAACTATCCCACGTACATGGTATCGTGATTTTATGCACTCCTTGCAAAGTCCAATGCTTTACTTTTGCATTGTTAACCTTGCGTGACGTCATTTATGACGTCACTAGGGTCGTACGAGTTTTTCGTCAATAACTCCCGATCAAATGGAGCTAGAGAGTCGGGAAAGCCACCAATGGACTCGGGAAGACCTTCCGAATCGAATGATATGCCATATGATACCCTTTGCCCAGCTTCGTGACCTGAGGGGCTCTGACCTGACCTGACCCGAGGTCAACTACTTAAGTTGACCTCACCCTAGCAAAAAGTATACCATTCGATGCAACTGAGCTAGGCGAACACAATGATGCCAAAATCGCGGCTCTACGGTCATTTTTTGCGAAGTTATTTACTAAAAACCGAACCCGTAACTTAAGTCACGTGACCTGACCTCAGACGCTACCGGTTAACCTGAGACCTTAAAATCGGGTACCAATCGCTGCGACTTGTAACGGCACACACGCTCGTTTTTTCCGCGAGGCTCTAGCTCTATTAGAAGCGAAACGGCGTGCTGGGGTCGTATCAACCCCTCCGAAACCCATTTTGTTTGCGGGAAAATGAGGAACTTATAGAAAGAACACCTTTCTATTTTTTTCCCATGTCGATTTGCAATGACATGAAGATTATTTTGAAAAAATAAAAATGTGAAAAATTTTGGTCCCAAAAGTCATTAGAGGCAAATGAAAAAAGATTAAGGTTTTTGCTCAACAATGAAATTATTTCTTTGGAATTTTTAAATAATAATATTAATTTTTGATTCATTGCAAGCTTAGTGTTGTTTACTTTTTGTTGGTTGCTTAACCCGTTCTTGAGTTATAGGCCATCAAACTCACCGTTACATACCGAAGTTAAAAAAATGTAATGCAATATAACTCAAAAAGTTTTGATCTGAGAAGTCTGATATTTTGCCAGGCGTCTTTGGGGCTTATGATTACCCCTAGGACCGATTTTCATTAAAATCTGAGAGATGAGGGTGACGGGCCTGGTACGATCTATCGTGGAATGCCCCAGATATCTCACCCAACCACAAATCCAGCTGCCTGTCCTCCTCTGTCCATCTTTGATTGTCTTTGAAAAGCTTCAATTAACAATTCTGCTGTTAATTCGTGAATTTTGGTCATCCCGAGGGTTTGTACGACTTAATTTTCGAATTTTTGCGTATTAATGTGCGAATCGTGATATCCTAGATCGGGTACCCGGCCAGAGTAAGCTATTTTGCCAGTTTTCGGGTCGACTGGCGTCGTTTTGTCGCCGACATGGTGACCACCCGCCCGGCGACAGAATTCGCCGAGGGGTTGCTGCCGCGGACGGCTTTGCTTTTTAAGGCCTCTCGAGTGTTATTATGTTTAAAAAAAAACGTATAATTGTGCAATGCTGGTGCTGAGACCGCTACGAATCCCTTCTCCGCCAGTCCAGCGAAAATAATCACAAACGCTTTCCCTGGCAGCTCCAAATTGAGCTCCTTGCCCATTTCGGTCTTGTGCAGCGTATGGTGTCTGCACCATTTTAAGTCGAGAGGTGTTTACGATCTTCCAGGTCATTGTTCAAAGTTAGGTCACTTTTGGTAGATGCGACAACAAACACGACCAATTATGTTCCATGACAGCCCGTACTCATAAAAATGCTCCACTGACGGTCAAAATTGTAAGAAAATACATGTTCGCGTAATTACTTTCCACCCTGGTTTAGACACTATTTCACCCGGGATGTTCTCAAAATATTAGTTCAGGCATATGTTTCCCTCACATCGCATACTGTTTGTGTGCATGGGGAGGGCAGGCAAGAGTCAGATGCAAAAAAAATCAAAAACTTATCAACTTTTCTGCTAGAGTCGTGTCTGGTGTGAAGAAACACCAGCACATCACGCCGACTCTATGCCGAGGATAGGCGCCCTTGTGGCGCGCCGAGACGCCGTCAAAGTGTGGAAGGCCCTTCGCACGGATGGGGCGCCCTCCGGCATTCGGGAACTCCTGGTGCCTCGGAGTGAGGTGTCCGCCCGAACGACGCGAGGCTCCAAAGGCGGTGGCCTGCACCTGCGGCGCTGCAGACTCGAGTCCAGCCGGAGAGCCTTCTCTTATCGCGGAGCCGCCACCTGGAACGCGCTTCCGAGCTCGGTGCGGGACTCGCCGACGTTAACGTTTTTAACCCTCGCACGACCAGGCCATTTCTCATAACACGAACGACCAGGGGGGGGGTTGTTACGACCCCCCCCTGGCGTTTCGAAACGGAAGGTCGTAGAGCTTAGCGGAAAAAACCAACGGATTGCTCTCAACGAGATCTCGCGATTGGTGGTATATTTTTTGGTCCTAGGTCAATATTTGACCTACTTTTGACCGGTCAAAGGTCAAATTTTCGGAAAAATAGACTTTTTTCAACTTTCGGCGGCGATTGCGGCAAAACGGTGGGAGATATCGACTTGAAACCTTCACTATCGTGTTCCTTGATCAATTTTCTATCGTTTGGTATGTATTTCGTTTCCCTAGCTCTAAAAATGGCGCGTTGGGAGCGCCGGAAGTCGGCAAGGTCACAGTCGGCGGCAGAAATTCGAAAAATCAAAATTTAAATTTTTGAAATCTGATTGTATTTTTGGATTTGGGAGGTCCATTTGCTCCCTATAGAAGCTAATATTGCTGCATATTCCCATTGAGGTGACAAGAATTAGCAAAATAGTGGTTCGGGCGCTTTTCAAAAATAGTACCGGACGCTGTTCCTCTTGTGACGTCATAGCTCCGTGACCTGACCTGACCCGGTCAAATTTCTTATACCATATGATAGCCAATACTTGCCCCAACATGCATGGGAAGTTTCATCACGATCCATCAACCGATGTCCGTACCACCGGCAGGAAACCTCGGGCGTTGGCACTCAGTTTGTGAAAATCCGGCCGGAGGCTGTACCTCTTATGACGTCATAACTCCGTGACCTGACATGACCCGATCAATTTTTTTTCGGCAAAAGATGCGCAAAGGTTGCCCCAGAGGGTATTGAAAATTTCAGCCCGCTACGACAAGCCGTTTAGCGTGCACTTCGAAAAAACCTCAGGGGGGGGGTTGATACAACCCCCCCCCTAGGCGTTCTAGGGTTAAAGCAGCTCTGCGAGCCTTGTGAATCACTCTTTGTATCATGTTTTTATTCTTTTTTAATTACTTAGCGCATTTTATCGATGATTGTACTGTGGCCGCAAATGGATGTTGTGTGAGTTTTATGTTGTACTGTACCTGACGTGGAACGGTAACAGCCACGGTGTGGAGGGTTCTAATACACAATACAATACAATACAATACAATACAATACAAACCGGGTGCCGTGCACAAGTCAGTTGGAAGTACCCACTCGCACTAGCGCACGTGCAGGGCTCACACTCGTGCTCGCACGTTTATCGCCCCAAAGGTGTTTTACTGGTTTTTAGATATTCTCGAAAACCAAACAGGGGTGTTCAATCACCGGATCCACAGGTTTGGCTATGGAGGGCCTTGACATCTTACCTTTGGCATCACAGTCCACACAGTACTTGTTATCTTCATCTTTAAGCATATTAGTGAGTATTGCAAGACATTTTTCTTGAACCATCTTTTGCTTCTCTGAGGCAACTTTGTTGCTCCCATTCATTGCCATTGTCAGCTTCTGAAAATAAAATGAGGGCGGTGATTGATATACGATACAGTTAATTCAGGGGCCAACTCACTCCGATCTTCTCGGCACCGTCACTTGGGATGAGCGATCACTTAATATTCTATAGCTTTCTTTTAACTGAGCATACATCTACATAAATTTCCACTTTTAAAGGGACTATCCCACCTTCTAAAAAGTACCGTTTAGGATTCGGAAATGCTACTCATGATATAGTGACGAATTCTGCAAGTTTTTACGCGTTTTCATCTTTTACTTTTTGAGATATTGCGGCTTTTATATTTCATTGTGACGTCTTTTAGATCGGATCTGTGACGTAATGAAGGATTTACTTCACGTCAATGTGGAGGGAAATTTGGCAGCAAATATATTTGCTCTCAAATATGACGCGGCTCATACAATAGCAAAAGTATCTCTGATTGGCTTATTCATAAATCAAGTGATACTTCACTTCATTGCGTGACAGGCGTTCACAAGGCAAATGACGTCATCAGATTGCCGTTAATGGTTAAAGGTAGTGTGCCACCTTTGAAAGATTTCCCATTTTAGGTATTTTTCCTAGGATAAGAAGCTTCTGTTTTTACCTAATATCGCAAAAAAAAAAATCAAAAATGGGCCTGGAATAGTGCCTTTTTCGCCTAAAAGTTTTTCGGTTTTTAGATATGTATAACAACTGTAGTGGGCTCACCTGCAAACAGGTGTCGGGCAACAATCGCGAATGCGGCGCACTTGTGACAATAAGCAAAGGTCATTATAGTGTTACGACCATACGACGTACGGGAATGAGTTATCAGCTGTCTAATCGTAGACAACACAATGTCGAGCCTTAAACTGTAAGCCCGTATTGGTATTGTTTCTTTTATTTGGCTGTCGAACATTATTTATGGTTTGAAATATGATTTTATGTAAAATAATTGATATGAAAAAGCCGTCTTATAAGTTATGACCCCATTTCACCACACGCAAGTGGCAGAAATGACAATGATCAGCTGACGCATTTTTCTTGGCCGAAGTCAGAGCGCGCGGCCCGACGCACCACGCGTATTTGGAAATTCCGACCTCGACGAGCATCAGAAGCCACCTAACAGGCGTGTTCGAAACCGCAGGAGATGATGATGAACGGGTTTATCGAAACTTGATTGGATGAGCATATCGGTAATAGCGATTTCAGTGTGTGCATTTATTGTTCATAGTGGTGTGAAATGTGGTTGGGGTACGACCGACAACCCGTCGGGGCGAATTTCGCACTGGGGTACTCAAAATTTGAAGAATTTAAGACGTTTCCATGAGTTTTGAAGGTATGGATAAGTTCTAAAAATCCGGTTCTCCTTATCTGGGCCATTAACTCCATACGGTCCAAGAAAGCTGGCACACTACCTTTAAGAGATTGGGACTTGTACAGGGAACATTTTCAAATGAAAGGAACAAATTTCTTCAACACCACGAGGCTGCGGGGGTTGCGACCAAGATAAATAGTGGTTTCTGAGCCTCGCCGCAAACTTGGCTATCTCAACTCAATCCTAATGTAAAGGTGGGATGGGATAGTCCCTTTAAGTGGTCACCTAGCCAGGGATGCGGAGCCGTGGAGATTTCAGACGGCTCCGGCTCCGGCTCCGGCTCCGGAAAAAAAATCGGCTCCGGCTCCGGCTCCGGGTGAAATGTCATGGCGGCTCCGGCTCCGGTTCCGGCTCCGAATAAAATGATCCGGCTCCGGCGGCTCCGGCTCCGGCTTCTACTCAGTACATCCCCTATGCGATCAATTAAATACGGGTGGAAGAAAAAGGCGATGGGAATGGTACACGTTGCTTCTGTACTTGTATAACAAGGCTATTTTGAATACCACATTGTTTTACGCCTTGTGCTGTCAAACCGAACTAGGTAAATAATTGTTTCCTCTTAAGAAAAGGAGCCGGAGTCGCCCCCTTTTTTGACGGCTCCGGCTCCGGCTCCGGCTCCGGGCTATATTGTTTCACGGCTCCGGCTCCGGCTCCGGGCAAAATATGCCGGCTCCGGCGGCTCCGGCTCCGGCTCCGCATCCCTGCACCTAACATTTATTTTCTTTCCTTTTTAACTGAGCAAAAATCAAATTAAATCGCGAGTTGCTAAGGACTTAAAGTAGGTAACTTGTCTCATCCGTGGAATACTTCGGGAGATACTGTCCCAGGCAGCTTAAATCCCGACTGGACATCCACTGGGAAGCTATCCGCTTCTCCTCTGCCTTCGACGACCAGTAGGTAACCTTCCGCGAGCTAGTACTTAGAGTTAAAGGGACCCTCCCACCTTAACATTAGTTTTGAGTTGAGATAGCCAAGTTTGCGGCCAGGCTCAGAAACCACCATTTATCCTGGTCGCAACCCCCGCAGCTTTATGGTGTTCAAGAAATTTCTTCCCTTTACTTGCAGGGTGGGACCAGCGTGGTCCCTATCTCTTAACCATTACGGGAATCTGATGACGTCATCAGGCTTTCGAACGTCCGTTAAATGTTTGACTAAAACGTTTTGTAGCACGCGGTGGTATATGCTGCTTTGCGCGCAACAAATGCCACACTTTCAAATAAAGTCGCTAGGAACAGCGGAGATCCCAAAAAGTAAACAAAAGTAAAAGTCTAATATCTTGAAAACCGGTGAATATTTTTCGATGAAATTTGGTAGATATTCGTTTTTGCTCTTTCTGAACCGAGCGACATCACTTTCATGCCAATGCATTAACTTTTTTGAAGGTGGGAGGGTCCCTTTAAGATCCGGATCAACAGGTCTACACAGGCCTCTAAATTCTGTTACTCCTAAGATAAGGTAAGGTAAGGTAAAAATATTGCATTTATTATTGCCTGTCAGGGGCGGCGGATTCGGGGGGGCAGGGGGGCAGCTGCCCCCCCTGGCAAATTCGTGGGGGGGGGGGGCAAAAGTATCTTTTTGCCCCCCCCCCATAATTTGTGACAAAGTTTAGACAAGAAACCACATAGCTGATTATTCTGTTCGATCATCTGAAGATGTAACCAGATGCCCATATACTTTATCATACGTTGCCTTTCTTAAATGGCAAACGTTCGCGTTCAACTGAAGTTTTCCTCTCTTCAACCTAGTTTTGGAGGCATTATAAGCGTCAACGTGACGCAGCGGCAGCCCAGGCCTTCAGTGACCGCTTACAGGGGCGACGGATACGGGGTGGCAGAGGAGGCACCGTCCCCTAAGAAACTTTTGGAGGAGGGGCAAACGTATATTCTTGCCCCTCCATAATTTGTGCCCTAAACATGAGGAAAATTTTCATAACCTATTGCATATTTTCTATTGCATGTGGTAATTTTCATAACCATATTGCAGCTTTGCGCTCCTACAGTTTGTCCAACGGTGCCTTTTGAATATGTGTAAATGCTAACCATTTCCGTTTTATATCATTTTTTTTTTGTCTTTTCAGATTCGATTTATATATATTTTAAGTGTGCGAGAGACGCAACTCATACCTTCAGTGGTCGTTTGCCGCTATTTTGTACCTATATAAATGCCAAATCGCAAGCGAGCGCAGACGGAAGGGCCAGCCATTCGCTTGCGGGTAGTTAGGACTGATGAGCGCTCATAATAAGCCACTCCCCTAATTTTTTTTCGAGCGCAACAGTTTCCAGCGCATAAAATGGTAAACGCCGAGGTCGTACACATTGACCACATTGACCAATGCACGGTATGGTATGACACCCAAAGGCCAGTCATCAGAGATCTGCTTTGGGCATTCGGAGGCTTGTGTGGGGCCAGTGTAAAAACTGGATGTTCACAGTTCAATATCCGCTTTATTTCAGTTTTCACCATTAAAAAAGTAAAAATTAATGTTGGAAACTTTTGAGGGTTAGGGCACTAATCACCCTCTGTCGTAAGGCTGGCTATAGAATAAAGAGCATCAAACACGAACAGTAGCGGCGGAACACCTTCAATTAAGGGGGGGGGGCACTGCCGACTTTTGGTCCCATTCTTTCCATGCAACGCCCATAGGGCTAACGTTAAAATGCCAAAATCAAAAGGAGGGTGCACGGTGCCCCGGTGCCCTCCCCGTTCCGCCGCCCATGAACACGAAAGCAAAATCAAAGGCATTTTGGAAAAAAATGAGTATACCCCGCAGCGTCCGATAACTACCACCTTCCAGTGGGTCAAGCCAACGGGGCCCAAGTCTATAATGGCACTTAACGATAGCACTAACCTTGTCTCACTTTTCGTTGAAGTCTGTTCCGAATGGTTTCGGCCACAGACTTGCTGCACTGAGGTCGTTTGATATGTGCAACTGTAATCAAAGCCACCTGAGGCGCCCTGACACCAGGCTGAAGCTGGGTTGGAAATGCTTCGTCTTTGCAGATATCACTGGCCGCTGATTCTCGAGTGCCTGAACCGGTAGATGTCATGGCAAAATTTGGTGTGATAATTTGGACCTTTCCGCAGTCAGCGCACCCTAAAGCCCTAATAAAGAAACGCCCCACCCAGAGCTTCTGGATTCTCGTTCCAGTCCACCGTTCCTTCACCCCAGCCCGCCGCCGCGCTCCCTCACCTCAGCCCTCCGTTCCCAGCTCATTGACGAGCGTTTGGGCCTTAGTTAAGCCTTGCTGTAGGCTTACTGTATAACTATAAACCCATCGAGACAGCCCGTCTCGGTGAGCTTAGTTGGCGAACTACTGCCTTGGGGAGGGTTTCTGGCGGATCGCTGTCCCAATAGGTTTAGATGCGACCGACTGTCTCCGAATGTTTGAGCGGTCTCCTCCCGCTGTTAGCTAGTTTCAGTTGATATCGGTCTCAGAAATACTTTTTAAAGGAACTTAAACGAAAATCCGACGTAAAATGAACAGAGGAAATGGTAACGAGTTACCTCATTGAAGAGTAGCGCTCGCCTACTTCAAAAGGTTTGGCACCGTTCTTCAACATCTGATATGCGATCGGGTTATGGCACAATTTTTCCCATTGGAGCTTTTTTCTAATACAGCAATACGAAATGCGTTACATCGTCCACTGGCGGATCCAGGGAGCGGGCATTTAAAGCAAATATTTACTACCCCTCCCCCTGGCCCCTGCATCGCCCGAAATAGACAAAACGTACCTTATGTTTCCTAATAATAACATTTTTATCAGGATTTTTTTTTATACTGTTCAGCAGTAAGGAATCGGAATCCGAGGAGTTTTTGGATTTGGGACACTTTTTTTGGGGGGTATGTCCCCTACAGCGTCGAAACGCCTTTCTGGATCCGCCTATGACATCATCTCGACTGGGATCTTGGCCCCCCCCCCCCACGCCAAAATCGAATCCGCCGCCACTGAGCCCTGTATTGCAATCTCTCCTAAGGCATTGCCTTCGGCACTGTAGGTACCTACCTACCTACTGCTTCGCCCCAAGTATTATCATGACCATAACTAGACAGCGGAACGGGGGGCACCGGGGCACCGTGCCCCCCCCCCCCCTTGAATTCTGCAAGGGGGCACCAATAGCAAGGTGCCCCCCCCTTAACCCTCGCCCGCACATGGGGGGGGTTGCCATCCCCCCCCAGGTAGTCTTTCTGCTCTGCACTCAACATTTTTAGAGCTAGAAGGCTGATTTTTCGTATAGCTGCTCCTCTATCCTTTCTTGAAGTCCACTGAAAATTTCAAGTTTCTGTGATTTTTGGTTTCGGAGATATGACCTTGTTTTTCAGGTCATGTCATGACCCAAATGGCCAATTCTCAACATCTTGCGCTTGCCATGGGCCTTGTGAGCTTTTGACACCCTGATTTCGGCCTTTTTTGCCAGTCTTACCTCCCACCTATCATGGAACATGTTGTTCGACGATGTACAGGGGTCAAGGTCAGGGTCAAGGTCAACCTAGGTCATCTAAGATAATTGCGTTTTAGGCAAGCTGAATTTACTTTTTGTGAAGTTTTTTGACTGCATTTTTGGTAAAAGCTTCTCAGATCATGATTTCATGTAATATGGACCCAAAAACAATCGGTGCACACATCATTATACACACAGACACACACAGACATACAAACACACATAATTGACCTTGACCTAACTTGACCTGAAATGACCTCAGCAGCAAAATTCTGGTCGGGTAGTGTGACAAAGAGGTTCTAGCTGGCTTGGCACCAGAAAACAGCATCGTCATCGGTATTTTATAAGCAGCGCACTTGATATCCAACGGTGACCCAAAACAGCAACATTTTTTAGTTTGACCTGACCTGGAAGGTCAATGACTGACCTGAGAAGGTAAAACTGGGTATCATTGGATTCGTCTCTTCCCAAAGAATCTTTTTGGTCTTTACTGCTAAGCTCTATCTCCAACAGGAACGAAATGGCGCGGGGGGTGGCAACCACCCCCCCCCCCCCCATGTGCGTTCTAGGATGGGAAAATGGCATGTGCGGGCGAGGGTTAAATTTGATGTAGTTATTAGTACCAGGGGCGGATTCGGGAAAACTCCAAGGGGAGGGTCATGAATTGAAGTGGTGCCCCTACCTATACCCAAAATTAAAACCTCAACGGATTTCGGCCACTTAATTTTGGTGGTGTTCTATTTTCAGTTTTTTTTTTATTTTCTTTATTTTTGGTTAGTCATGTGATGACTGGTGCCCCTGCTAGGCCGCTGGTGCCCCTGGAAAGACTGTGGTACCTACCTACCCTGCCCCCTGACAAGCCTACGGTGGGCCCTAACATGACTTAGGTGCCCATGGGCCCTGACAGGCCCGTGGTGGCCCTGACAGGCCTGTGGTGTCCTTGCTAGGCCTGTGGTGTCCCTGGGCCTTGACAGGTCTGTGGTGCCCCTGGTGAGCCTGTGGTGCCCCTGTTAGAACGCAGGTGCCCTTGACAGGTTTGTGGTGCCCCTGACAATCCTTAAGTGCCAACGACAGGCTTGTGGTGCCCTTGACAGGCACATGGTGCCCTTGCGAGGCCGGTGGTTCCCCTGCGAAGCCGATAGTGCCCCTGGCAGGCCTCTGGTGCCCCTGGCAGGTCTGTGGTGCCCCTGGAAGACCTGTAGTGCTTTTGCTAGGCCTGTGGTGCCACTGACAGGCCCATGGTGCCCCTGCTAGGCCTGTGGAACCCCTGGCGGGCCTGTGGTGCCCCTGTCGGCTTTCAGGCCTCAGCCTGTGGTGCCCCTGTAGGCTGTCAGGCCTGTGGTGCTCCTGGCAGGCATGTGGTGCCCCAGGCCCTAAGTCATGACCCATGTGACCTTCCCCCTGGGATTCGCCACTGATTAGTACTGCGATGGCTTCTTGGTAATTTGATACATGTAGGATAAATGGAATTTATCAAACGACAATAAGGAAGAGACAAACACATAGGTACTTGAGGATCAGTTTAAAGTTAACCACACATACAGGGGTGAACTGCCATTTTCGTTTAGTAAAAAAAAACATCGTGTCAGGGCTGTGACCAAAAGTAAGTGGCCTAAATCCAATGAGAAAACAGGATTTGGGGGTACCCTAGGTTTGGCTCCTTGAGCTGGTGCCCCCCTTGTCTCAAATCGTTCCGCTGCCTATGATTATGACGTCACTTGCTTTCACTCAACCTTGAAGTTAAAACAGTAGGTGCACGGATGCAAAGTTTTTAGACAAAAAAATGTCCAGACAAAAAAATGTCTGACAAAAAATGAACACACCAAGAAATGCAAAGATGAAAAAATGCAGATGAAAAAATGTGCAAACAAAAATATGTACCTACAGACCAAAAAATAACAAGACAAAAAAGCAGACAATAACTGAAATCTGTATACGAAAAACGGTATTAGTAGAGCAGACATCACGCGAGGGTTTTCCAATTGAGGAGAGATGCCATACCTGGAGGTGCTTCTTTCTAGGAAAACCTTAACAAACCTAACCTAACCTAACCTGACCTAACCTAAACTACAACCTACAAACCTACAAACCTACCCCACAAACCTACAGCGCCTCTCCTCGGTTGGAAAACCTTCGTGTGACATCTGCTCCACTAATGCCCGAAAAACTGTCTGACGAAAAATGTCAAGACAACTTTATCTGGACACGCTTTCACCAGACTGATACATATCATGCATACACAATACATAACTCGAAACATCAAGACTTACCTATGTTTCGGACCAATTTCCAATATCAGTGGGGTTGTTCTAGTGGCTCCTCCAGGCTCCAACCAGTCCAACCTCAACCTCCTCTGAGCTACACTATCCAACCTTTAACCTCCCCTTTCAAGTCGCCCCTCCGGCTCCAAGCGTAGGTACTCTCCCTATTTTGTCGCCTTGGCCTTGGTACTTTCCAAGGCTATATTTGCTACAAGGCGATAATACCTTGATAAGAGGATAAGATAAGATTTACTAATCAATATCAATATCAATATCAAAATAAACTTCGTTTGCGCTGGCTCCAGCTTGGTTTTTAGTTAGCCAAGGCCGCATAAGGGACGACGGTGAAAACAGGGCGCCTGGGGCAATTTGATCAAGGTTCGTGAAATTTACACGTGACGTTTGGCATATTAGAAGGCCCACGGAAAGGGAGAAGTTCCAAATGTCACGTGACTAATATGCCCTCCGGCGCGCGTATTTACAAATTGCAACCGAGCTCCGCCGTAGGGTATTTTATTTCCGCCGTAGTGTATTTCACTTGGGGTATTTTCTACCATACATCTGCCTGAGCGCGTATTTACAAATTGCAACCGAGCTCCGCCGTAGGGTATTTTATTTCCGCCGTAGTGTATTTCACTTGGGGTATTTTCTACCATACATCTGCCTGAGCTTGGCGTAATTGCAATTTGTCGGCGACGTTAAAAAATGATGCACCTTTTTTCGCAGTATAGGTTATCGCATGTGCATATTTTTGCCTTTTTGGTTGCGCTTTTCCCTCGCCCGTATAGAAGGAGGCGTTGAACGGACCACATCGGTTTTTCGTGAGTAACTCGCGTAAAAACTGTCCGATCGCGACGAAACTTTCAACACCCCCGATTTTATCAATTTTACACCTACCCTGAAAATTTCATGACCGTGACCCAAATGACCTTTGACCTGTGACCTATTTCTCGAGACCATGTTTGGCCCGAATCGCGATTCGGCGTATGTCGGCTCGCATTAGCCGCGCGTTTGCAGCCTTTACGTGGTTTCAAGCGTTGAAACATGTGATATGATGCTGGTCCTATGCATGAGGGTGGGTGTCAAGGTCACCTGAAGGTCAGGTCAGCTCAATGACCTTTGATGACCTCGGTTCACTTTTTCGAGTTTCACATGTTTCTAGGCTAGTTTTTGGAGCTGATTTCGAATTTAGCAACCATTTGAACATTACAGGGGGTGTAACGAAATTATTGGGCACCAATTAAAAAGCAAAACATTCTGGTACTTTTCTTTTAACTGAGCATGTAGCCACCTTCATAAAAACACAGTGGCGAATGTTCTGAAGCATTTCAGCCACTGGATTCTCCAGCACACTGGCTTTGATGCGGACCAACGCCGTCTAAAGCTGTGCCTGCGGTTGGGCGGTGCTTGTGGCGGGCGTCTCTTCAGTCACCTGCTGAACAAGAGCCCACAGTTTTTCGATTGAATTGGGATCGCGATTTTTTTCAAGTCATAAGCGTTAGCCCAGAATAATTGAAGGTTCTATCGGCATCACTGCCCGTTCTTTAGGGACTTTTAAGTAGCACGCCGCCCCGCATGAAGACAGCGTGGCTTGAATCAGGCATCAGTGCGCGTTCAGAAACCGAGCCCTCCTATACCGTCTGGTTGAGCGGCTCCAACCATTCATTGGCCAGTATGTTGCTCCCGTAATGCTTGACGTTGATGGCGGTATTATGTGACACTGTCCTATTGGAGCATCGCTAGGCAGCTGAACATGCTCCAGTTCTGGATATTGTCCGGATGTTTGACGGCGGCAAAGGCCAGCAAGTTCGAGCGGCTGGGCGCCCATACATGTCCGATTTGACGGTTCAAAGGATAATACAGCTCGAACGGCTACCCATCCAACCAGACCACCTCACCATTATCTTTCTTCAACCAGTGGACGCGATCTGGCGTGAGGCGAAAGGTGGTGAACTAGTTGTTTTCCCGTCAGTTTCGTTGTCTTTTTCAGTTTGAAGGGCACTAGAACCAAGTTAAAGGACGGGTAGCGGTAAACCATGATATTGGACTCTTATTATCTGACTTGGTAAGAATTCAAGTCAATTTGCGGATTGATTGGTGCCATTTCCTTGCCGCTATCTTGACTCTCCTCACCACTTGACAAAGGGCGGCTTTTGTGGTCGCGACCGGGCTGAGTCTGCTATCGAAGTCCCAGCTTACCACGCCTCAGGCAGATGTGCAATTGGCTGCTGCTGATGTCCACCTGCTGGCAGACCAGCTTCTGGCTCATGACGCCGTGGGTGCCACCATGCAATTTTACCACGAAAGGAGAGATTGTATCCCTTTCTCGCAACTGGCTTGGACGAAAACTACCATGTGGCATGTGAACCCGTCTGTGAATCGACTCCTAGTCAGAGCAACAGTCACATGACAAGGTCAGGTCACTGCTGAGTTAAAAACCGATAGCAGAGGCATTTATTCATCCAGTATTCCCACCTCTAACATCAGAAAGGATTAGGAAACTGCAAACAGATATGGCGAAAAAAATAGATGTCCGGATAATTTCGTTACACTCTGTAGGTACTGAAGTAGTTTTAGTGCCTTCGTAACATGTTACGAAGCTGTCAGAGAAAAAAATAGCGTTATGCCCCTCCAACTTTTGCTTATTTGTAGAACTTCGTTGCTTAGTAAACCACCATGTTGTTCGCATTGAGGAGCTTTGAAATGTATGTATAATTCAAAATGTTCTGTAATTAAAAGAATTGATTCAGTGTTGCACATCTGAACCATAATCTGAGTTGCACCGAGCATTGCAGGTTTGACGGCTTTTTGCCCCACCACCTTCCCTGGAAAAGCTCCATCCTTGCCTATGGGGCAAAACATAAGGGACAAAAACACAAAACAAGACAGATAAAAACAAAACAAAATGAACTCATTACTTAATGGAGTTCAGTCTGGAGCAAAAACATAGGTAATAGGTATCTATGTCAAATTAGAATGAAATATTAAAATCAGCCTGACCAGGCCTTACGGTCTGACCTGGTCCTAACCGTCTTAACTATTACTTCACCTAACTTAGCCCAATTCAACCTAACCTACCACAACACCTGCAGAGGTACCTTCCTGGAAAAATGATGCCCAGGGACATGGAGGTGTCCAACTTATTGGAATATTACCATGATTGCTTGTCAAAATGTGTGTCATCATGCTCTTGTTTGACGAGTGATGTATAATAAATGTGACATTCAAAAATGGTCTCCTGACTGTTGAGTGATCAGAATATTCAAATAATCAGGGTACAATGTTGTGCATCATAGTGCACACTAATAATGTTGTTTTTGTGTAGGCCCTCGGCCTCTGCGCATTATTGTGTACACTGCTATGTGCACCTTAAGGAAAAAAAGTGACTGGTGGTGCATGACAAAGGGTTGAGCAGCTTTGAAGTTCATGCCCTTGGTCTTGCTGGTGCCAAATGCCTATAGCTATAGCAGGATCAGTGAGGGTTGTAGACATGCTACATACACTGTGCATTGAAGATATTGGCACAAAGTTCATCCATAATTACTATGCTTAACACCTAATGTAAGAAGCAACATAAATGCCCAGATGATACAGCTCTCTGGTCAACATCACACAAATTTATTGACATACTTTGCAGGTACATATTTACATTCATAGCAAATAGGTACTTTCGATTTGATTCAAAAACTAGGTGCTAGTAGGAAAGTGCATTTTTGTAGGTACAACAATGACCATATAGTAAATCATTAAAAACCTCGTGGCATTCATCACATACCTTTTTACCCAACAAGTACCTATCTAGGTACCATGCAATGATTCTAAATTTTGTCGGCAATCCACCTATATCTCAACTGACACATCGAAATTGAAATACCCTAACAAGACCTAGAACTGTACATAAGAAGAATGCAATACTACAAGAACTATGAAGTTCTGAAGTTATTCTCACATGCCGGAATCTAGAAACTCTACTTTTTGTTTTATCATCCATTTCCACGTTTGATTGAGCCATCATATGAAACTGTTATTGCTATTCAGTCATAAGCTTTTGTACAAATCTTGAATTTTTACTCATCATCTTGAACCATGCTCCAGTCTTTCCAACAAGGTACTATGGAACATCAAAACAATTTTAATTTGTTACAACAGCTTCAGATCATGATAGGCTTGAAGTTTGTTACACCATTTGCCAGACAAACCTCTACAAAATGTGTATCAATTCCCAAACTAAGCAATTGATTATATCAGTATTTGCAGTTTCCACACAATGTTTCATAATATTATTCGATTTTTATAGCAAGAAACTCAAATAATCCACAAATTGTTATTGAAACACTCCCACTTCAAGAGCTCACAGCAATAACAATACAAGTTCAGAAGCAAACAAACATTGCGCCAGATTTCGTATGAAACGCGCCATCATCCCCAAGTTTCTACCACAGACGGTAGTTCAACCGCAGCCGTAGTGCGAAAACTGGCGAAAACCCCTGCCCACCTTACCCCACGGCGGAGCTCGGTTGCAATTTGTAAATACGCTGCCTGAGCTTGGGGTAATTACAATTTGTCGGCGACGTTCAAAAATGATGCATCTTTTTTCGCAGTATAGGTTATTGCATGTGCATATTTTTGCCTTTTGGTTGAGCAGGGAGACACCGGTTGGTCACGTGACTCGGAAACAAAAATCAGCTGATAGAGTGGCGGAATCGCCGTAATCAAACACGAATAATTCCGGACGATAGAGCGGCAGTATAGGAGTTTTCTTTACAACAGGTAATCATTGCAATGTATTATCATTCTATGACCAAGAAACGTTCATAAATCATATATTTCTTCGATGATTACTGCCGCAACCGACGCGCATATATTGTAGCCAGCGCATAAAGCTGTGCTTTGCGATATTATATGTAATGAAACGGCCAATACTAATAATTTGTAACAAAGCTCGAAAAAAGATGGCATTCTATCTTGCTTCAACCTTCTGCTTACGCTTTTATAATAACGACAGCGACACCATACGGCCTATCCACGCTATGCAACTCCATGGCGTGTCCGGCCGCACTCTGCCGAGTGTGCCGAGATCAGAGGCGGACCATCCGCGGCAAGTCCAGCTGCACTGCCCGGTACCTGGGAGGGCGACGCCTAGCCCCGCTCTGGCCGCTCGCTTCCGCGCACAACTAAGCTACCTGGCTAGGCCTGTGGGAGGGGAGGGAGAAAACCAACAACAGTCTGATGAGCCAATGGAGTCTGTGAGCCGCGCCAATCAGCGCCCTTCCGCGCGCAGACGGGAGCTAGAGCTTTTCATCTCCTTTCCTGTTTTCGCTGGTCCGCCAGTCACCAGCATCGTTCCGTGCTCTCCATCTTGGCCGATTCGGCCGTGTGCGTCAGCAACAACAGTGAGAGAGAGAGAGAGAGAGAGAGAGAGAGAGAGAGAGAGAGAGAGAGAGAGAGAGAGGGGGGGGGAGAGGGAGAGGGAGAGGGAGAGGGAGAGGGAGAGGGAGAGGGAGAGAGAGAGGAGAGAGAGAGAGAGAGAGAGAGAGAGAGAGAGAGAGAGAGAGAGAGAGAGAGAGAGAGAGAGAGAGAGAGAGAGAGAGAGAGAGAGAGTCTCGGATCACGCCAGGCAGCCACATGGGTATCTATTGTTTATTTATTTTCCAGTGATCGCAAGCGTTTTTGTTTGGAACCGGGTGTGATCAGTATTTGACGCATTTCTGTGATCTGTATGATAAAACTGAAAAATAGTGAAATATATTCACTTTAATTCACATATCGCTTTTGATTCATGGTACGGCTGCTTGATTTTGCCACAACAAACATACACAGCCGATCTCGGCATGTTTCTGTTCCAGAACAGCAGCTGCAGTGGACACCAAAAATGCATTCATGTTCTGACAACTTACTCCAAAGATACAAATATTTCACGACGAACTGCTAAGTTCCAGAGAAAGTATTTTCTCGCTCACAGATGCTCAACAAGAAGCGCGCGATTGATTGCAACTAGCACGCTCACGATTTCTAAAATAGCGCTGGCCCAAACCTGCCCCTTACATCCAAATATAATATCTTAATTCCAGCCTCTGTCCTATTTATTATTTATTAGCGCACCGAGAGTGAATGATACCACGGCATAGCCGTCATATTACATAGCACAAATTGCGAGACGACGTCGAGACCCGTATCGGCGTATTCTTTACAGATCCGGGTGTCTCGCTTTCACTCTCAATCAACCCTGCCACACCATCAACCGAGCCACATCGGCTCCGACCATCTTGATCCCCGCACTGAAATCTGATGGCCGGCCCGTCATTTCATGCTATCCGTCGGCGCGCACTACACCCGAGCTCAGCCTAAAGTGCACTGTGCGGCCTTCTTCGGATGACACCTGAGCATGGCGCTTGCCTTGCACCTGGATGCTTAGAGCCTCTTGTTCGTGCACGGCCGTTAGCATTTCAGGAGTCGGATGGTCTCGGCGGTGGCGGCGCTGGTCACCGTGGAGCCGTCGGAAGACACCGTCAGCTCGAGCGCCCTCGACCAGTGACCTGTAAAGCAGCGAGTCGCGGCATGTCAAGACGACCGTCACGTTTCAGTGCCGCGGCGACCATCACATAGCAGTCACGGTGACTATCACAGGTCACGACGGTCGTCAAATACCACTACGAGCCACGGCGACCACGACTCATAGCTCATAACGTTTCCTGACGCACACTCAGCTATAATAACAGTATATAAGCCTGTACACACATTTCTCACTCGAGAAATCGAAACCCGAACCTGAGACCCATCATACGTCACGATGATGATGTGAACTACCGTCTATCACACGATGATGTGATAGACGGTAGTTTCTGGTCAATGTCGATACGCGCGCCGCGTGGCTGACCATCACACTCTGCCACCTCCGGAAGACGTTCTACAGCTGGATCGACCCGCTGTCTCCAGAACCACCGCCAGAAACAAGCCTGATGGAGGATGATATGATCAAAACTAAAAAACCACAAAGCACACAATGAAGACGACAAAAGCGGCGGCAGGCACATAATGACGATTGACGACCTATAACTAAATCAGCTTATTCAACGTCAAAAAAGGCTGCAAATGTCTATATTTTACTAGTCAAACGCCCGTGATAGGCTGATGTGCTTAGCTAGATGTAGCTTGACTTTCCGAGTGTGGCCTAACCCTCGCCCGTATGGGGGGGGGGGGGGGGTCGAACGGACCCCTCCTCGGTTTTTCGCGGATAACTCATAACTCGCATAAAAAAGACGCCGATTGCGACGAAACTTTCAGTACCCTCCAGTTGATCAATTTTACACATGTCCTTGACGTTTTATGAGCCTGACCCAAATGAACTTTGACCTGTGACCTATATTAAGCCCAGCTGCCGAGAGCCATGGCAGCTAGTTGGGGAAGCTTCAGTCCAGATAGCATATGCAAGTAGTAGCCATTCAGCAAGTCTGGTGGGAGGCACTTTCAGCAACTGTTCAGGCGTTAATTGGATGGAGAGTCTGGGGTGTGTGCGCACCAAAAAGCAGCAACTGCACACTCAGAAGTAGAACATTGGCAAAACCTGGGTAAAGCGAATGAGAGAGGGAGTCAGGAATCAGGCGTGCAGGGGTAGACAGCTGAAACAGGCGAGGAGAGCAGTGGAGACCTGGAGACATTATGAGGAAACATTGGTCTGGGCAGACACCCAGGTTGAGGTGAGTGTCAAGACTCAGTCACCCAGACTCAGCACTGACAGCACTGACATCACCATAAATGTTACCAAATGCCGTGAATAGAATAGTAAGACATTTTATAAGATTGGACCCTGGGGGAACCTCCAGGCTTCCCCCATGGGATAGTTGTCTGTCCAACCCTTAGCAGGGTGGATGTTTGGGAGAGGTGGACAAAGCCCGCGGAGGGCATGTATTTCATGATCGCTACACACATTGCAAGACTTTTTTAATGATATAATGACTCAAACTTATCCATGTCACTTGTCAATTACAGGACTTTGTGGGCTTTTGTTTATTAATTCTCAGAGCATCATCTTTTCTGGTGAGTTACTTGCAACACGCATTGCTGCAAGCTCCAAAAGCACAACTCGAAATGGCAAACCAAAGCAGGGTCTCAACCTGAAGCAGGAGATTGAGATGCAGAAGAGAAGGAGAGGATCAGGATCATGGAAACAAGAGAGCAGAGGACCAAAATGAATCTGGGTGAGGGGTTTATATAGACTTGACTTCAGGTAGACTACATACTTCGTAGGATAGGTACCTACCTAATAATTCCGATGGCAAATCAATATAAAAACTATTTTGATTTGTATCTCAACTAACCACAGAAAAGAAACTTGACACAAATCCACCCCACCCGGCACAGATAAACTCACAATAAAAATACATTTCAAAATCCGTTTCCTGTTCCGTGGCCTATCAAGAACAAATCCAACAAGAAAATTCATTCAATTTGAAAATGTTTATAGCCTTGAGCGCCTTGAGTTGAATCCAAAGCCATGCTGAATAGCTTGAAACTTAAAAGTGTTCTCAATCAGTAAAAGAAACGCCGTTACACCAATCAAATACAAAAGCTGGCGTTTGCTAGCGATAGCAGTACAGAAAACTGCGCGCAACTGCGGGTGATAATTATGGTCGGCAGTTTTCAATACTACGTTTCGTAAAGTTCCCGCGTTTATTTTGTTTAAAAAGCTATACCAATAGATACAAAATTCAATTTTGTTTACTATCATGCCTCAAATAGACCCCACATCGGTCTTGTTTTCTATTAATATGCCATTAACTCTCACCGTGTGACCTTAGGCGGCAAGGAAGCCAACGCATACCAGACCAAAATAATGCATCTTTTAATTCTTAAACTGCAATAAATCATACATATTTTGGAAGAAAATTGAATTTTTATTTCAATAAAGGATCTTTGTGAGCCCAACAATGACTAGTTCGCCATCTAGCTATGTTTTCGTCCAGAACTGTTTTGTATTCAAAATTTGAAGTTTTAGAATTAGACGTAAATCTTTTAAAGTTCCCGCGTTTCTTACGTTTTGACATTTTAATATGTTATAATGTAAGCGATTCTGTTAATTTTAGTGAAATATTTAGACCAGGGCCTCCTCTAAGGATTTTTCACTGGGTGGGCAAAATTTTCGCTACTCCCCTGCCCAAGGGCGGATCCAGCCACTGTTTTGGGGTTCAACCAATTTCAAAACCTGTTACCGGGGGGGGGGGGGGGGCGGGGGTGAGGCGAAATAAGCAGTGCCGTTATTGGAAATAAGATGATAGTTTGCAAAGTTAACGTTTGTCGTATGTTTTATGGTTAGCGATGCTCGAGCGATTCGTTCCAGAGTTACATGTACAGCCCCCCGCAAACTGTGTGGTAGTTATTCTTATTCGGTATTCTTGCTATTTTGACAATGTACCAGTTTTTGTGACCTTGTGACCTGACCTCGGGTCACTGGAACCTAAAACTCCAAGGCCAAGTGACAAACAGATGCTCCAAGTCGTATCTTAAATTTGGTAGCGCTATACGTGCTATAGAACTCACGCTATCAACGAAAAACTCTGGCATTCGGTTGCCGCTAAACTATTCCAATTTTCCCCTGACCTTGTACCGGGTTTGTGACCTGGTGACCTGACCTGAAAAGACTAGAGACCTGAAATTTTCAGGACAAGTGCCAAAAGGTTGCCCCAGAGGGTATGCCAAATTTGAGCGCCGCTGTTTTTACGTTATTTGTGAAAAACCTTAGGGGGGTGCATCAGCCCCCCTCACCGGGCGAGGGCTAACTAACATAATGCATTGTAGTAAAGGCTACCCGAACCGGTAATGATTCTTGCTTATTTGTTCAGCTCAGCCGTATTTAGAGATTTAGCTGGCTTTGTCCATGAATAACAATATCGGCAGGGGCGTAACCAAGGGGGAGGGGCCACGGGGGCAATGGCCCCCTCCCTTGAGCGCAAAACGCGCCATGGGGGAGCCGCTCAGGCCCCGGAATATTTTTTTTTTCAAACACTGGATAAAACGTCTTTTACTCGGAAGAAAATTGATATCGAAATTTCATTTCTGTGGCCCTCTGATGACCCAATGGGCCCCTGCACTCATCCGATGACCTCCGGTTTCCTGGGGCCCCTGGTCGCCTAGGGGGCCCCGGTCGCTTGGGGGCTAGTCGCCTGGGGGCCTGGTCGCCTGGCCCCTGCCCCCTGGTCGCCTGAAAGAACGCTTGTCACCTGCAGTGGCATAGTCAAGGAGGGGGCCAAAGGGACCATGCCCCCCCCCCTGGAAGCCAGGAGTCCTTATTCTATAGGGGCCCCTGGCTGACACAGTGGGCCCTTGGCGACGCAAAGGCCCCTGCGGCAAATCCTTTGATGCAGCTGAGTAGTTATACTTTGGTCAAGAGAGCCCCAATTTTAGAGCCTTGGGGCCCTATTGAAACCAGGGGGCCAGTTGGATGGGATGGGTCCAACTAGAGTCCAACGGTGTGTAAACAGAATCAATGCGTTCCGACTGTTGGTCTGACCCTATATCGGTTTGAGGGAGCTCGTATCGGATCCACTGTCGATCTGAGGGGCCCCTATCGGTTTGAGGAAGCCCTCAAATGCCCTGAACGGGTCCTTAGTTTGTCGGAGAAGGCCCTCCGTCGGCATGACTGGGCCTCTGCAAGTGCAAGGAGGGCTTTTGTCGGTCTTAGTGGCCCTTAGGCGGCTTATATGACCCCCAGACGGCTTACGAGGCTCTCATGCGCTGTAGGGGCCTGTGACGGTCTGAAGAACCCTCATCCGACCTACGGGCCCTCAGACCGCCCTCAAAACCGACTGGCGACTCTATGAAGCTATTCGTGGGCCTATCTAACAGGGCCCATGGACTACTTACCCCCTCAGTTCTAATATTTTTTGTTAATAAATATTTTTTTCTATTTATTTGGGCCCCCTCCAAAAAATATTGGATGCAACCAAATGACTTTTTGGATTTTGAGGGGGTTATCTTGGGACCCTGTGCGTTTGGCCCCCTCCTTGAGGAAATCCTGGCTACGCCCCTGAATATCGGGCAACCAGAAAACTTTTTTTGACCTTCAAACAGCATCCAGTTTGCTTAAGACCAGAAAGGTAGTACCGGACGTCCGGCCGGACCAGAATTTTTGCATTTGCTTCTGGGTGGGCAAATCGACGCCACTGGGTGGGCAATTGTGGTGACTGGGTGGGCATTTGCCCACCCAGTGGGTATGTTAGAGGAGGCCCTGATTTAGACCCCACATCGATCTAGTTTTTGAGAATCATTACATATAGTGGAAAAGGGTGACCATGGACAGCAATGGTGGTTATGTATTGAACATCAACTAAACACAGTTTCCAACCTTTAAAAGGCAACAAAAGGCACAGAATCTGATAGATAATTCAATTTTGATATTTTTTGACCATGTTGTAAGCCCCACATCACTGAAGTTACTCGACAATTCATGGTAGAGCATTGGCAGGTCCGGTAGGCTGAACAGCTCAGAACCATGGTAATTTCGAAATTCAACAAAAGGGAGTTGGCCTTTGATATCACTTTTTGTCCTTCAATTTTAAATTTTGATTGTGAAAAATTAATTTTGTTCATGAACAATCCTTGCAACTTAAGATATATAATTTTTGAAATGGCGGAGATAGCCAACAATTTATTTTCGTTAATGCTTCACAGATTCATACATGGCGTGGTCTCTGATCATAAATCAAAAATATATATACAAATAATAAAACTATTTTGATATTTGTTGCTTAGTTCTCTTTTTTAGACTTAAAGGGTCAGCTGAAAATAGTGGTCAAAATACCTTAGTGTTGTAATTTCGAACCGGTTTTACCTAGTACTCTATATACCGTGTGGTTGAGCTTTTCCCTCGCTCGTATAGGGGGAGGCGTTGAACAGATCCCATCGGTTTTTCGTGAGTAACTCGCGTAAAAACCGTCCGATCGCGACGAAATTTTCAATACCCCCGATTTTATCAATTTTACACCTACCCTGAAAATTTCATGACCCTGACCCAAATGACCTTTGACCTGTGACCTAGGTATTTCTCGAGACCATGTTTGGCCCGAATCGCGATTCGGCGTATGTCGGCTCGCATTAGCCGCGCGTTTGCAGTCTTTACGAGGCTTCAAGCGTTGAAACATTTGATAGGATGCTGGTCCCATGCATTAGGGTGGGTGTCAAGGTCACCTGAAGGTCAGGTCAGCTCAATGACCTTTGATGACCTCGGTTCACTTTTTCGAGTTTTACATGTTTCTAGGCTAGTTTTTGGAGCTGATTTTTAGCAACCATTTGAACATTACACTTACAGGGGGTGTAACGAAATTATCCGGACACCTTTCTTCCCGCTGTAATTAAAAAGCAAAACATTCTGGTACTTTTTCTTTTAACTGAGCATGTAGCCACCTTTCATAATAACACAGTGGCGAATGTTCTGGAGCATTTCATCCACTGGATTCTCCAGCACACTGGCTTTGATGCGACGCCCTCTAAACCTGTGCCTGCGGTTGGGCGGTGCTTGTGGCGGGCGTCTCTTCAGTCACCTGCTGAACAAGAGCCCACAGGTTTTCAATTGAATTGGGATCGCGACTTTTCCAAGTCGTAAGCGTTAGCCCAGAATGATTGAAGGTTCTATCGGCATCACTTCCCGTTCTTTTAGGGTCTTTTAAGTAGCGCGCCGCCCCGCATGAAGACAGCGTGGCTTGAATTAGGCACCAGTGCGCGTTCAAAAACCGAGCCCTCCTATACCGTCTGGTTGAGCGCCTCCAACCATTCATTGGCCAGTATGTTGCTCCGGTAATACTTGACGTTGATCGCGGTATTTTGTGACACTATGTCCTATTGGAGCATCGCTAGGCAGCTAAACATGCTCCAGTTCTGGATATTGTCCGGATGTTTGACGGCGGCGAAGGCCAGCAAGTTAGAGCGGCTGGCCGCCCATACATGGCCGATTTGACGGTTCAAAGGATAATACAGCTCGAACGGCTACCCATCCAACCAGACCACCTCACCTTTATCTTTCTTCAACCAGTGGACGCGATCTGGCGTGAGGCGAAAGGTGGTGAACTGGTTATTTTCCCGTCAGTTTCGTTGTCTTTTTCAGTTTGAAGGGCACTAGAACCAAGTTAAAGGGCGGGTAGCGGTAAACCATGATATGGGATCTCTTATTATCTGACTTGGTAAGAATTCGAGTCAATCTGCGGATTGATTGGTGCCGTTTTCTTGCCGCTATCTTGATGACTCTCCTCACCACATGACAAAGGGCGGCTTTTGTGGTCGAGACCGGGCTGAGTCTACCACCGAAGTCCCAGCTTATTACGCCTCAGGCAGATGTGCAATTGGCTGCTGCTGATGTCCAGCTGCTGGCAGACCGGCTTCTGGCTCATGACGCCGTGGATGCCGCCATGCAATTTTACCACGAAAGGAGAGATTGTATCCCTTTCTCGCAACTGCCTTGGACGAAAACTACCATGTGAGCCCGTCTGTGAATCGACTCCTACTCAGAGCAACAGTCACATGACAAGGTCAGGTCACTGCTGAGTTGAAAAACCGATAGCAG